ATAGCCTAGCCACACAAGACAGGGATCCTCCATTCATTCAGGATAGAAAACCAAGGTTAGACATAAGGAGGGAAATGAAACATGACGTATGGTCCACGATATCTCTTGCATGAGAACTACTATAAAAACTGTCATTCCTACCATATCCTGTAGAGGAGAATCTAGTATAGAATCTAGGATAGAACAATCTTGCTCTCCTCTTTTCCTTCCTTTACAGTATCTCCCACAAGCCAGTCAGAGGACACGAATTTCCCCCCCTTCCTACTAACTTTGAAAGAAGCAATCAAAGAAACACAGGAAGTCATATGCCACCAAGGCACCTATATTCCATAACTCTCCTTTGGCTTAGTTAGCTTCACACTATAGTCCTTGTCTGAATTCCTTCAGTTTGTATATTAGACGAAACATACACAAACAGGTAATTAAATGCATGCAATAAAACTAAATTATAAAAGCTTATACATCTGAATTAGGTTTTATTAATAGTTTAATTTTTAATATCTTATATTCCTATCTGTTGAGGTGATACAAAGGATATAAAATAGTAATGCTGTGGTTAAGATAATTATAAACATTATCTTAGAATACTAGTGTCATTGCTAATTGAGCACTGATTGCTAACTTGCACAAATTCTCAACTTCTGAGTCAGTTTCTCTGTCTGTATTTGCCATACCAACATCAGAGGTCTACAGAATTGTAAGGTATTACTCAATATACACAGAACACCTTTCAGAGCTCTAATAATATTGGTTACCACATTACCATAACACTGTCATATAATTAACACAAATGTAGGAGGTACTTTAAAATAATATAGCAATATCAGTTCTTCAGTAAAAAGACTATATTTTAACATAGATGCTAAAATCAGATAAACCAGTTACTCTCCAAAGATTTGGTTATTAGTTTTCTCTAGCATTATCAAACCACCTAAGAATACTTTTCAATAAAATCTTAAGAACTTGTACTAACTGTAGATTTATAAAAGTATTAAGGATCATAACTCTAACTTTAAAAGATAAAATACAATCACTTACCTATTATTACCATAGGAAAAGTCACTGATGAATCTTCCAGTAAAGAAGTTTCTTCAACTAATGGCATTGCTTTAACTTTTCGCCCCAAATTATCACCAAAGTATTGCGCTAAGGAATTAAAAATCTCTCCTTCAGTTTCAGTATCACTATAGTTTCTTAAAAAAAAGGGGGGGGGGGAATAAAAAAAGAGAGTCAATATAGCCTTTTTAAAAATCAATCTCTACTGAGTTTATTTAGACATAAAGTATTTTAATCGTTCCACAAAAGAAGAAAAGAAAATCCTTCTGATTAATGCTTTCAAATTATAGCTCAGCTACAAGTCAACCTATACCAACTTGAAGGCCCAAAATCCCAAATATTAATAGCTGCTTTTCTCAAGTATCTTCTACTTTTCACAAGTATCTTCTAGGCGAGCCTCTATGAAATAAGCGACTCTCTCATGATCAAAGACAGCATTGTGCTGGGGATTTTACAATTCTCTGAAACTAGCCTAGAAATGACTAGTTTCTCCTCTATATTTTTCTTATTAAAAGGTGAGTGCATTGAAGACAATATATAGTCACATACATTTTAAGAAAAAGTTACTGTATTTATATATTATTAAGTGTGCATTTTGGTACAAGAAATTACGTTTATACATTTTTATTCAAAAAATATATTACATATATATTTATTTTTTGAGACAAGGTATTGCTCTGTCACTCAGGCTGGAATGCAGTGGTGCAATCATGTCTCACTGCAGCCTCCACCTCCCGGGCTCATGCAATCTTCTCTCTTCAGCCTCCAGAGCAGCTGGGGCTACAGGTGTGCCACCACACTTGGCTAATCTAAAAACCTTTTTTGGGTAGCCATAGGGTCTCTCTCTGTTATCCAGACTTCAAAAATATATTAAAATAAGATCTTAAGGTTATTTTCCAATTTTTGTCAATTGGTTCCCTAGAAACTAGTTTTAGCATTTTCCCATTTTCATGCACTACATGGGAGCATCTCCTGAACATGGTTGATGTTCTGCATTATACTACAGCCTACTTGAGAATACCTTAATTAATTTTATCTATATACAGTCAGCAACGACCACAATGTCTGGAAGTGTTAAATACCTACCGGGGGTGGGAATGTTATTTCTACTCTCAAGTAAGAATGGGATGGATCAATTATTTAACAGGACTCACCTCACTGATCCCAGAGGTTGATAAACAGAATCAGGCAGAGACAGGAATTTCTATTTCCCTATAACCTTCAGTGTTCCCAATCTAGCCTAGGATAGGGAGACTTCCTCAAGATATACTGAGGGCTTTCTTGAAACAAAGAAAGTAACCTGTACCCCAAATATTTGGACTCCTCTTACATAGCCTCTTTTGACCAAAACAGATACCAATCAGACATGGCTACTAAGGGAAACCCCTCCTCACAGTGCAAGCCTACTCTTGGGAGGAAGTTTTATATGCTCAATCCATCCATTCCTGACTCATTCCAACTACTGCCTCTGATCAGATCCAGATGCATCTGCTGTCTTGCCTGTACCTGCTTCTGCCTCTTGGCAACTGCATTTAACATTTTTTATACTCTGCTCTGTCCCTGATATTTCTCCAAAGTATGTGCAAAGCTAGGTTCTCCTGTGCCTCTGGAGGCTTCTGATCAGTCATTTTGATAAGAAACCTCCAAACCACTGCTCAAAGAAATCAGAGATGACACAAACCACTGCTCAATGAAATCAGAGATAACATAAATGGGAAAATGTTCCATACTCATGGATAGGAAGAATCAGTATCATTAAAATGGCCATACAAATTCATACAAACTGCCCAAAGCAATTTACAGCTAGTGCTTGACTTAGGACCATCGTCGGGACCGCGGAACAGTCGTAACACGATTTGGTCGTAAGTTGAGTAGGCTATATGTACAGCTGAAATGGTGCACGCGGAGATGGTAGTCCTGCCGGAAGCTGGTCCGCACTGTCATACGCCCAGCTGGGCAACGTTTTCGCTGCCAGACACGGAGCAGTCGTGGCTAGCGATTGTGGTTGTAAAGTCAAACGGTCGTAAGCTGCATGGGTCATAAGTCGATCAATACCTGTATAGATACAACGCTATCTCCATTAAACTGTCAATGACATTCTTCAAATTAACTAGAAAAAGCTATTTTAAAATTCAGAACTAGAAAACTATTTTAAAATTCATATAGAACCAAAAAAGAGCTTGAATAGCCAAGGCTACAACTTTAGACAAAACAGAACTGTTTTTGCAAAAAGAAGTGTGGTTTATTAATCATAATGTTTATCTTTTGGCAGCTAGCTTGTTTTCCTTTCTGTCTCTCAAGACCAAAACACAGCAAATACTTTGTTTTCACTCCCTACGCCAAATTTCTGTGCACAGCAGGAAGCATACTGTATTCACCACCTAGGGTTAGTCAAAAGACTATGAATCCCACATTGTACATCAAAAGGTGTCAAATAGCTTTTACACAATATTTTCTGAAAGGCATGTTAATTTCTCATGGGCTTTATTTAGTTTAACAAGTTTCACTAGGGGAACCTATTTCCTAAAACTTTCCACAGTGAAACTGATACTCTCAAACCACTCTCTTAGTAGTCAACAAATCTGCCTAAAAGTTAAAATCAAGCAGTTTATTATATAAAACCATTTTTCCTTAATATCCACAACTGAGAGACTCTTTCTAAACTCACTGAGAAGTTAGACAAATTTGGATTATTGCTATTACAAAAGAAGTTCTGAACTTTCTCTGTGCCTTACATCTCTTTTACTATTTGATGATGCTTCTTGAACTCTTCTCTGAATATTGTTCTTAAATACACACAGGATTTACAAGAAAACCAATTAAGACAGTCATAAAAAGTAAACGTGATATATATGTATATGTGCTTCTCTACTGCATTAAATTCAGTGATGTGTAACTCACTGTAATTTTGAAGAAATAAGTATAAACGGTATTTCCATATTTGCAAATGCAATGTGATATAAACATATTTATGATCTTTACTGATGATAGTTGTAACTACTACCGTGATGTGTTGCTTATATTTGTAACTTAAGTAATATTAGTTTTTAAAGTTTAGTGAAATGATACATCTTTCTTTCCATCCATGTTCATGGGTTATCTAAATTCTATCTATGAAACCTATAATTTAGGGACGCTTGATCAGAATTTCATATCTTACCAGAGAAGCAGTCTTATACAGAATTATTCTGGAACATCAGTACATGTAAAGCAAGGTACTAATGTATTCCCTAAGCTTAACAATTCTTCACCCCTGGGTTAAAAATCAGTTTCTAGTGTCTGGTCTTTCCACCAATGACAGGTGTTGGCCAAATGCTAGCTCTGGAAAACACGCTCACTTTTATTTTAGAAACGTAGTATCTTTTATCCTCCGTAAAAACTTGCCCCGTAAGGTAAGTCTAAAATCGCCACATTCTTCAAATTTCTACAACACACAGGGCTTACCACGGCTAACATCTTAACAAGGCAGAATCTATTTGTAACTAGGCGACACTGAAATGTAGTTCCCTACCTTCCTTCCCCTCATTATTTAGAAGACTTTTTAAGAAATAAATTTTTTTTAGGGAGGCAGGCACTTCGTAGAGCCCTTCGCTAAAACTTTACTTGGAAGTCTCAGTTAGCCGTAACCGACTCAGCCCGGGCCTAGCCGGTCCCGCAGTCCCGTGACCCGCGCGGTCCAGCAAGAGAAAAGGGAACAACAGCGCCGGGCTCGCTGGAGCAAGGACCCCGCCGCACCTCAGCGCACCCCACCCCCACGCCGCGCAGGGCGGCCACGGCGGTGGGACGCTGCGGTCCAGGCGCTCGCCCTCCACCCCGGCCCGGTCCCGGCCCCAGATGGGCCGCAGACCTCCAGAGCGCCGCATCCCCGCCTGCTCCCCTCCCATCCCCGGTGGGGAAGTCACCTGAAATGACCGGCCAGGGAGCAGCGGCAGCACCACACCGGCATGGAGCGCTGCGCGAGGGGCGCCCCAGCACGGCCGCCGTGGCCGCCTCCGCCTCCCCCAGCGAGGCTGCCAGCTCCAGGCGCCGCCCGCTAGGGGTAGCGGGGTCTGCCCGGCGCTCCCTCCCAGGACCTCGCCGCTGCCGCAGCTGCCCCGGCTCTGCGACGCCGGAGTCCGCTTCCAGATAGCGGCTTCCGTTCCTCGCCTGCGGGGAGCCAGGCGCCGGCGGCGGATGATTTCCGAGCGACGGGATAGGGGCGGAGCGGGGCGGGGACGGTGCACGGCGGCGGCGGCGGCGGCGGCGGCGCGCGGGCCCCTCCTCGCAGGTGCGGCGGCGGGGGAGGCCTGCGATTGGTGGAGCCGCGATCCGGGCGCGGGGCCGGGCCTGTCGGAGCCGAGGCTGCGCGGGCGGGCGGCAACCGGGACTTGAACCTCGGTCTGCGCCCGGCCGCCCCGCCGCTCCGCCGCCCCTCGGTGTGGGACTTGGCGAGGCCTGTGGGTGCGCACCGAGAGGGCCGAGGGACGAGCGGAAGAGAAGCCGCTGCGAACTCGGGCCACCCAGATGGCCGGCCGGAGGTTCCTGCGTACGGCGCGGCCTCGGCCACCTCGCCAAGGACCCCGGGAAGGGTCGAGCTTCCCGCGCACGAGAAACCACCTTTACACGTGTTCTCGCGCCGCCCGGTGCCTCCCGCCGTGGCCTCCGCATCACAGTCACCTGGGGGGGCCTCACCAAACCACAGGTGCCCGGGACCCGCCCCTCACGGTTCTTTTATGGAAGTCTCGCTTCCGGGAAGAGGTCATCCTCCCTTCTTTAAGTCTGTGGCTCTCAACACCCACGAGTGTGGGAATTACCAGCAGGCTGTGCAGAAGTCCAGGTGCTCAGGCCAGCCCCAGACCTACTGGGTCAGTGTGGGGAAGGGCAGGAACGCCTGCTGCTTTTTAAGCCACTGCAGGCGCTTGTGATGCAGTAGGCAGTTAGAAAAGTAAGTAATGACTGTCCTTATTCGGTTTGTCTGAAATTAAAGGTGGGGAGGACAAAACCCGGGAGGGATTGATTGCATCTACTGTTCTGCAAAAATGTCTAGCTCTGCTTCCCAAAAAAAGCCCTAATTATTTTTGTGCTTGAAATATAAAATACATAGGTTTATATATTTCAATATAATTTTTTAAAACAAATGTTAAGTTTTACTGAATGTTGTCACTGAACAAACTTGTGATGAGGAGGTATTTTAGAATGTGTGTCGCTTAAAAGAAAATCATAGGGCTCAAACTGCCACCAGGGTTATGCAATCTAAGAGTATATTAACCACTTTTAAGAATTGTGTGTTTTTCTCTTTTTTGAGCTTTTGACGGTTTGACAGGTTCATTTCATTTGAATGTTGGTTCTGAAAGTGAAGCATGCAGTTACTTTTCCATTAACATACATACCATTACCATTTTAAAGTACCTAAATTCCTGAAATCAGTGCTTAATTTTGCAACACATATACTAAACTAGAACCATACAGAGATTAGCATGGCCCCTGCCCAAGGATGTCACACAAATTTGTGAAGGGTTCCATATTTTTAAATATATGCACCTACTATGTAACCACAAAAATTTAAATAAACACATAAATTCCTAAAAGCTATGCCAATCCAATTCAGATAATTCTTTTCAATTTTTCAATTTTTTGGTGGGTATATAATATATATATTTATGGGGTACATAAGATTTTGATACAGGCATACAATAAGTAATAATCACATCAGGATAAATGGAGTATCTGTTACCTCAAACATTTGTCCTTTCTTCATGCTACAAACAATCCAATTATGCTCTTTTAGCTATTTTTAAATGTGCAATGAATTATCATTGACTATAGTCACTCTCTTGTGCTGTCAAATACTAGATCTAATTCTATCTAACTATATTTTTGTACCCATTAACCATCCCCACTTCGCTTGCTCATTCCCCACTACCCTGCTTAGCCTTGTAACCATCATTCTACTGTCTCCATTAGTTCAATTGTTTTGATTTTTATCTCGCACGAATAAGTGAGAACATGCAAAGTTTGTCATTCTGTGCCTGGCCTATTTCACTTAACATGATGACATCAGTTGTATCCATTTTGTTGCGGTTAACAGCATCTCATTTTTTTTTAATGGCTAACTGCTACTCTGTTGTGTACATAAACCACATTTTCTTTATTTGTCTGCTGATGGACGCTTAGGTTGCTTCCAAATCTTGGCTGTTGTGAACAGTGCTGCATTAAACATGGGAGTGCAGATATCTCTTAGATACACTGATTTCCTTTCTTTGGGGTATATACCTGGCAGTGGCATTGCTGGATCATGTCATAGCTCTATTTTTAGATTTTTGAGGAATCTCCAAACTGTTCTCCATAGTAGCTATACTAATTTACATTCCCCAGCAGTACACAATGGGTCTCTTTTCTCCACATCCTCCCAGCATTTGTTATTGCCTGTCTTTTGGATACAGGCCTTTTTAACTGCAATGAGGTGATATCTCATTGTAGTTTTGATTTGCATTTCTCTGATGATGAGTCATGTTGAGCACCTTTTGATATGCTTACTTGCCATTTCTATGTCTTTTTTGGATAAATGTCTATTAACATCTTTTGCCCATTAAAAAAAAAAATTTTTTTTAAGAGGTAGGATCTTGCTTTGTCACCCAGGCTGGAATGCAGTGGTTTGATCATAGCTCATGGTAGCCTCGAACTCCTGGGCTCAAGTAATCCCCCTGCTTCAGCCTCCTAAGTAGCTGGGACTAGAGGTGTGCACCACCACACCTGGCTAAATTTTCTTAAAATTTTCTTTTTTTGTAGAGGTGAGGTTTCTACAAAAACAAAAAACAACACACACACACACACACACACACACACACACACACACACACTCAAACACACGGCCTGGCCATGCTGCCCAGGCTGGTCTTGAACTTCTGGTCTCAAGCAATCCTCTGGCCTTGGCCTCTCAAAGTGCTAGGATTACAGGTGTGAACCATTGTGCCTGGCCCTTTTGTCCTTTTTAAACACAGATTATTGTAATTTTTCCTGTTGAGATGTTCGAGCTCCTTATATAATCCGGTTATTTATCCCTTGTCAGATGAATAGTTTGCAAGTATTTTTTTCCCTTGTTCATTGTTTCCTTTGCTGTGCAGAAGCTTTTTAACTTGATGTGATCCCATTTGTCCATTTTTGCTTTGGATGCCTGTGCTCTTAGGGTATTACTCAACAATGCTTTGCCCAGCCCAGTGTTCTGAAGAGCTTCCTCAGTGTTTTCTTTTAGTAGTTTCATGGTTTCAGATCTTAGATTTAAGTCTTTAATCCATTTTGATTTGATTTTTGTGTATGATGAGTGGTGGGTCAAGATGGCCAGGGGGAGACCTATGTTAATTCTAGCTAAATAATTATAAGCTTGCTTGGCTCAGAGTACACTGAAGTTTATACGCCAAACTAAACTATATTATTAGTATCATCAAGTGTCAACAGGAGGCCTAAGGTAAAGATCAATAAAGTGCAATAACACTGTGGAACACCTCGGGGCAGTTGCAGAGCAGGCAATTTTGCTCTGGTCCCACAAATGCCTTCTCAACATGGAGACTGCATGAGGGTCTCGTAAAGAGGGCTTGTGCAAAGATCTCTGAGAAGGGAGGTGACCTCTGTTCATAAGGTCAGAGAGGGTCTTTGCAGATGGGAGCTGGCAAGGAGGAGAAAAGCCTTGCAGAGCAGAGATCATGGAATACCTCAGGCTCTGCCTAGGTTCTTGGAATATGGAGTGATTTTAATTGCTCATTGTCGTCAATGCTTGGAAGATAAAACCCCTTGATATATTGGGTGTGGTCAGATCTGGTGGCTCCTCATTCAGTATACTTATGATGCAGCTGCACCCCAATAACAATCAGTGATAAACTCAGAGTACTAGTTTAGCATGTCTTAGAACGATCTCAAGTGCTTCTCCCCCCAACCCCCCAACCCCGCCATTTACCTACCCCTTCACCCTTCCCTTCCATGCCCATAAGATCAATGAGATTATGCACATAATAAAAGTGTTTAGAGCCCAGAGCTTGGGGCCTGTGCCGTTCCCACGCTTGCTGGTCTCCTGTACCCATGCTGTAAATTTTACTCTTCTGTCTCTGTCTTTATTTCCTTTTCTCAATCCATCATCACTGCCGGGACTAAGGGCACCCACATACAATACCCAACAATGAGAGATAGAGGTATAGGTTCATTCTTCTGTATATGGCTATCCAGTTTTCCCAGCACCGTTTATTGAAGAGACTGTCCTTTCTCCAATGTATGTACTTGGCACCTTTGTCAAAAATGACTGTAGATGTATAGAGCTGTTTTTGGGTTCTCTATTCTGTTCCATTGTTGTTTTGTTTTGTTTTGTTTTTGAGACAGAGTCTGACTGTCACCCAGGCTGGAGTGCAGTGGTGGGATCTGGGCTCACGGTAACCTCTGACTCCTAAGTTAAAGTGATTCTTCTTTCTCAGCCTCCCGAGTAGGTGGGATTACAGGTGCATGCCACCATGCCCAGCTAATTTTTGTCTTTTTAGTAAAGACAAGGTTTCATCATGTTGGCTAGGCTGGTCTCGAACTTCTGGCCTCAAGTGATCTGCCCACTTTGGCCTCCTGAAATTCTCAAAGTACTAGCCTTCTGAAATTCTCAATACAGTTGTGAGCCACCAGGACCAGCTAATTTTTGTACTTTTAGTAGAGACACGGTTTCACCATGTTGGCCAGGCTGGTGTTGAACTCCTAACATGAAGATCCACCTGCCTCGGCATCCCAAAGTACTTGGATTACAGGCATGAGCCACTGTGCCTGGCCCTGTTCCAAAGCTCTTTGTGTCTCTTTTTATGCCAATATCATGTCATTCTGGTCACTATAGCTCTGTAGTATAATTTGAAGTCTGGTAATGTGATTGGTGATAGATATGGCTATTCTGAGTCTTTTGTGATTCTATATAAATTTTAGGATTGGTTTTTCTACTTATGTGAAGAATGTCAGGTATTTTGAAAGGATCACATTTAATCTGTAGATTATTTTGGGTAATATGGACATTGTAACAATATGGATACTTCCAATCTGTGAACATGTGATGTCTTTCCATTTTTTTGTATCCTTATCGATTTCTTACAGTTTTCACTGTAGAAATCTTTCACTTCTTTGATTAATTTCTAAGTAATTTATTTTATTTCTAGGTATTGTAAATGGAATTACTTTCTTGATTTCTTTTTCAGATTGTTCACTATTGGCAGTAGAAATAATACTGATTTTTATGTTTTCATTTTGTATCTTTCATCTTTACTGAATTTGTTCATCAGTTCTAATAGTTTTTTGGTGGAGTCTAGGTTTTTCCAAATGTAAAATCACGTCATCTGAAAAGGATAATTTGACTTCTTCCTTTCCAATATGGATACTCTTTATTTCTTTCTCTTGTCTGATTGCTATAGCTAGAACTTCTGGTACTATGGTGAACAGCAGTGGTGCAAGTGGGCATCTTTGTCATGTTCTAGGTATGACAGGAAAAGCTTTAAATTTTTCCTCATTCAGTATGAAACTAGCTGTGGATCTGTTGTATAGAGCTTTTATTACGTTGAGTTTTATACCCAGTTTGAGGGTTTGTATCATGAATGGATGTTGAATTTTGTCAAGTGCTTTTTCAGCATCAATTTAAATGATCATATGGTGTTTGTCCTTCATTCCATTGCTATGATGAATCACATTGTTGTGCATATCATGAACCATTCTTGCTTCTGGGGTAAATCCCACTTTGTCATGATGAATGATCTTTTTAATGCGTTGTTGACTGTACTTTGCTAATATTTTTGAGGCGTTTTACATCCGTATTTATCAGTGATATTGGCCTGCAGTTTATTTTTATTTCGTTTATTTATTTTGATGTGTCTGCCTGATTTGGCAACAGGATAATACTGGCCTCATAGAGTGAGTTTGAAAATAGTCCCTCCTTTTCTATTTTTTGGAATAGTTTGAGTAGGATTGGTATTAGTTGTTTAAATGTTTGGCAGAATTCAGCAGTGAAGCCAATGGGTCCCAGGCTTTTCTTTGCTGGGAGATTTTTTTTATTATTATTATGGCTTTGATTTCATTACTTGTTATTGGTCTGCTCAGGTTTTGGATTTCCTCATGTTTAAATTCTGGTAGGTTGTATGTGTCTAGGAATTTATTCATTTCTTCTAGGTTTTTATTTATTGGCATATAATTGCTCATAGTAGCCACTAATGATGCTTTAAATTTTTGCAGTATTAATTATAATAATGTCTCCTTTTTTGTCTTTGATTTTATTTATGTGGTTCTTCTCTCTTTTTTTCTCAGTCTGGCTAAAGGTTTGTCAATTTTGTTTGTTTTTTTAAAAACTGATGTTTTGTTTCATTGATCTTGTTTATTGTTTTCTTTGTTTCAATTCCATTTATCTCTGCTCCGATCTTTATTATTTATTTTCTTCTATTAATTTGCAGTTGGTTTGCTTTTGCTTTTCTGCTTCTTTAAAATGAATCACTAGATAGTTTATTTGAAGTGTTTCTATTTTTTTGATAATA